ATTGCTACCACAGTGATAGTGTAAGGTGGATATAGTAAACCCCTACACTATGCGCAAGTGTAAGCGGCGGATGCTGCCATGCACAATGTCAAGGTGAGATAGCGTTCGGACAACAATGCAATTCGCTGATAATCCAACATTCCCTCCTTTGTTCAAGTAGTTCCGAGACGGTTTGATTGGCAAGTATCGTGATGGCCAGCATACGCCGCCCCCGACAAAAATATTCATAAGCGCATGGAAAGAGAGCCACCGTGTGCATTCGCAGGCGGTTCTATTGTGTTATCAGCTGCCAGCGCATAATCCTTTGTCGATGAAGTCATCTATTTTTCGTCTATGTTCGATCCTAGTTCTGGAAGACAGTAGGGGGGGGGGGATTTTTAAGCATGCGGCTTGCAATATAAATACCTTTACTCGTGCGCGGCGCGTGCGACAATTCGCGCGCGGTGTCGTGAGAGGGCTTTTGGACGGTACTGTATTTGCTGATCGGCCGACATAATCTTTTTTGTTCAAATTGGTCCAAGGCGGTGCATTGCAAAGTAGCATGATGGCCAACATGCATCGCCCAGTAAAAATATAAGCGGATGGAAAAAGAGCTACTGTGTGCATGCTTTACCACTGTTATGGCGTTTGTATCAGCTGCCAGTATATCAGCCATTTTCGGTGTCATCTTTTTCATTCCGTGAAACTTACCAGCCCCCCCCCCCCCAGTTTTGGCGAGACGGTAGCAGCATCGATTTTTAAACCGTAAGTCGCAATTTAAGATACATTGAGTCGTGCGCGGCGGATGCGACAATTTACGCATGTCAATGTTGGCGAGCGCACAGCAATGCAATTCGTCGATCAGCCTACATCACTTTATTTTTCGAATCGTTCGGACAAGGTGCATTGCCAAGTAGCGTGATGGCTATCATACGGCGGACCCAACAATCAGGGGCGGATCCAGGGATTTCGTCAAGGGGGAAGCCACGCAGCATTGTGGGGCCCCTAGAGTTTGGGGACCTCCAAGCAATCATCGCATTCCAGCCATTAAATTTTGAGGGTAAAGTAGGGTACACACACACACCACACACACAACACACACCACACACACACACCACACACACCACACACACACACCACACACACACACACACACAACACACACACACACACACAACACACACAACACAACACACACACACACACACACACACACACACACACACACACACACACACACACACATATATATATATATATATATATATATATATATATATATATATATATATATACATACGTGTACATAAATCTTTAAGAAACAGCAACTGCAGGAACCCGTCATACTTCGCGTAGCCTTAAAAAACTAAGCGTACTTTGTATGCACGTACATGGAGCTTATACATTTTCTCAAGATCGCGTAATCCCTGCCATTTTAGGACTAAGGATTTGGGAAAACAGACAACTTAACTAAAGTTAGCTGCTAAATACCATCAAAATCAAGCAATAATTTGATATCTAGCTTATTTACGGGCAGGTGGCTGGTCTGTGTGACCACCCGATGGCTGATGGCTATTGCAGAGCTTTTCCTTCGTTGTAAAGAAGTTCAAAACATCCTAATATTCGAAATGTATTAGGAATGTGATGCACAAGCGTGTAAAAATTCATCAACGCATATCCGACTGCTGCTCTAAGGCAGCAGGCATGCTATGTATGCACTATGTCAAAGTAGGGCCCCTGAGCAACGTGCACCAAGGCCAGTAGGGCCGGAACCTGAGCGATCATGGATGCAGAGGGGGGCCAACGAAGAGGATCCCACCAACAAGTGTAGGGTCCTCAGAGCAAGCGGGGAAGAACCCAAGGCCAACGTGACGGGCTCCTGAACGATCGCTAGTGCCTCGGCAGGCTGACATTTAGGACCCAGGCCAGAGCACAGGGCTCTCTGAGTAAAGGAAATTCCCCGAAGACCAATGTAATGAATGAATTTCCCTGTACGATCAAGAATGCCCGGGCAGGATGACAGAAAGGACCCCCGATATGAGTGAAGGGTCCTCCGCAAATGAGACTAAAGGGAAAGGGCCCTAGGACAAAGTAGTAGCCCCTGAGCATCGCGTGGCTCGTTACCTTGCCTTATATGAGCGCCAGCAACAGCACAAGGCCCTCCGAGCAAGTGGAAACAGCTTCACACCAATGTGAAGGGCCCTTGAACAGCTGGATATACCCTGCAATACGGGGCCACGGAAAAAAGCGTTTGGAGCCTTTCGGCTGAATGGGAAGAATCCGCGGATAAAAACCTGGTCGATTAAAAGTGCCCTGGCATATAAGCAGACAATATCCCAACAGCGGCGCAGGGCCCTACGAGAAAATGCAAAGAGATCAAGGGCGGCGTGGAAGCCTCCTAAGTGATCAGATTGACTCGGCAAGTGGATATATAGGGCCTCGGGAACAGCAAAAGGCCTCTGGACAAAGTTATGGCCTCAAAATTTCCCACAATCAACTCATTTTCAAGCAACGAAGAATTAACGTTGTCCGCCCATGGACTCCTCACCGTTGCTTGCAGCTGTTCTTGGCCGTCTGTGAGCCAAAATACGTCCAATTTTGTTGTATTTTGTATTAGAAAACTGCGTCCGTTCGGCGGGCTATAAGCCCCCTCGGGGGCGCAAAGGGGCATGGCCCCGTGCCTCCCCCCCCCCCCCCTCTGTACCCGCCACCGGCCTGAGCAGCTCAATAGATGGTGCCTCGCCAAGAACATAGGGTCATCCATTCAAATAAGAAGTACCCAAGACACAACATGAAAGGCCTCGAAATGATCTGGTGTGCCCGAGCAGGTTAACGGATGGATCCCCCGACAAGAATGTCAGACTCTCCTTTCAAGTAGAAGGCATCCAATACTCAATGTGGATGGCCTACAAACGATTGAATGTGCCCGAAAAGCTTATCAGAAGGGGCCCCGACAGGAGCGCAGAGTCTCTATTTAAATAGAAAGTACCCAAAACCTAGTGCGGAGTCCCCGAAAGATGGAGTGCGTCTGATCAGATCATCAGATGGTTCCGACAGAAGTGTAGCGCCCTTAACGAAAATACCAAGACCCAATGCACAGGGTTCCCAAACAATCCCGTGTGGCCGAGGAGGAGAACGGAGGGGTCCGCAACAAGTGCGTGGACCGTTCATCGAAATGACACGCACCCAAGACACAATGTGGAGGTCCCCCGAGCGATCGCATGTGCACGAGCAAGTGAACATATTAACAGATAGGGCCCCCGACAAGAACAGAGAGCTCTCCATTCAAATAGGAAGTACCAAGACCCAATACAGAGGACCTCAGGACAGTCGTGTCCCAGCAGGTTATCAGGTGGGCCCCCGACAAGACCGTAGGGCCTCCATTCAAATAAAAAGTGCCAAAGACCCAATGTGGAGGGCCCCCGAAAGAGCGACTGTACCTGAGCAGGCTATCTGATGCCCCCCCCCCCCCCCCAACAGGAGCGTAGCGCCCTACATTCAAATACCCGATGTGCAGGGCCCCCGAGCGATTCAGTGTGCCCGAGTAGGTTGAGATGGGCCCAAACAAAACTATAAGGCCATAAGCAAGTGGCAAAGATTGGAAAGGCTCTAAACCAATGTAAAGGGTCCATGAGCATGTCGCAAGTGTGTCGGTAGGTTAACCGAGACCAACGTGAAGAGCCCGACAGGTTGACACATGGGGCTCTGCCTATAGTGTTCAGATCCATTCGCGCAAACAGGAAGAATCCGTGGAAAGCCTCTGATTGACAACAGTGCCCCGGTACTCCAGCAGGAAGAGCCCAGCAACAGCACAGAGCCCTCCCGGTAAATGCAAAGAAATCAAGTGCAACGTGGGGGGGGGGGGCCTTGACGACCGGATTGACCACACAAATGGGTTTATAGGTCCCCGGAAACAGCATAGGGCCTCCGGACAGCGCCATGAACCTTAAAATCTCCTAATCACCTTAATCTCCTTATCATTTACAGGGGCGCGCAACAAGAGCTACTGTCTGCATTTGTCATGATTTCTATAGTGCTTTCAGGTGCTAGTGCATCTGTCCTTTTTGATAACGTCATCTGTTGCAATCGTCCGATGCCCTTTCTCAGCTATGACGAGACGGCCATAGCGGTGATGTTCAAAATACAGCTTGAAATTTAAATAACCTTTTAGTTGTGCACGGCGGGTGCAATCACGTGTGCGCAGTCATTTAGGGAAGCGAGGCGTTTTTTTTTCGCTGATTGGCCGACGTGACGTCTTTTGTTCACGTCATGCCGGGACGGCGCATTGCTAAGAAGTGATGATCAACATACGGCGGACAGGTCAAAGTATTTATGAACGTGCGCAAAGAGAGCTACTGTGTGCATTTGCTGGCATTGCTACTGGCAATTAGCTGCAAGCGCGGTAGCCTTTTTGATGAGGTCATCTATCTCATTGGGTTACCCTCTCCCCCATCCTAGCTTTGGCTAGGCGGCCGCAACCACGATTGTAAGCGTACGGCGTGCAATCGATAATAATAAGTACTTTCAAATATTTTTTTTAAACATACTGTTAGTCGCAAGGCGGGTGCTCGCAAGGTGGGCACCGCATACGATGTCATTCCCCCTCAATGACATCGCATACGATGTCACTATGGGGGAACACTTGAAAGGTAATGTGATTCGCTGATCGGCCGACGTGACCTGCTTTGTTCAAATCGCACCGATACGGTGCATTCCCAAGAAGCGAGGTGACTAGCATACAGCGTTGCAGCTCAAGTACGCGTAAGCGTACGGAAATAACAGCACAACAGGCGCAATGGGACGAGGATATTTAATGTAACTGACTCATGAATTGTCTGCGAAGTCTACATCTGACTGGATGCACAGAGCTATCCGTCAAGTCTATGGTTTTCAGTGGCGTGCGCCCTACACAGTTTGCGCAGGCGTCGTGCAGTCAATTCACGCACAGCTTGCATCTCCGCCGGATGACCGTTGAGCTTCGGAGGTGATCCGACGTCACCTGTATGTGATCAAAAGGCATTTCCTTGCACGATTTGTATTTTAACGAAACGTCACGTGACTGAGTTTTGACTCTTCTGAGCAAAACTGAAGGAGCTGGCTTTTGCTTCATTGTACCCACAATTGCATTGAAATGTTAGAGTATCACAAAATGCACCTGACATTTGTTACTCGATAAGACGTGCACGGACGAAGCGACCAACGTTTCTTTTCGCAATTATCTACACAACCCGAAAAACCACCGTATCAATAAGACGCTACGATACAGTATTGGTAATAATATTCTTGCGCACGCGACCAACACTCAGGCGCCATCCAGGAACAGGTCCAATAATTCATTTCATGACTCAATTATTCCACAGTGCCATAAATCCGTTACTTGGTTTGATATACCTCACAAAAATCAAAACACAGTAGGGTCGGTTGCGATTACGAGAGTGTACACCCGCGCCTACTTTTTTGACACAATCTGTCGAGCAATCAGCTCCCGCATGATCTCGTTGCTGCCACCATAAATTGTCTGGACCTGAAAGGAAACAAAATGTCAAATTCCACATATCACTCAAGGGAAACTACACCTGAGCCAAACCAAGCTGCCACATTTAACATACCGCCAAATCGGCAGAAGCGCGATGGGACGTTTAAAACGCTTTTCTTAACGGAACGAAGGGAACACCGTTTCTTGTAGTCATTGCAGTGCTCAAGTTAACTGTACGCCACGAGATGGCCCGACCCAATCAATGAACCTGGGAGAGGCACCAACACTGAAATGATATACCAGGATGGACCCCTTCCTCCTCACTTCAGCATCTCCTCCCTCCACAGTGTGACGAAACGGCTGCCGGCTTACCTTGGCATCCACGTAGGCCTTGCAGATGGGGTACTCCCACATGTAGCCCCAGCCGCCGTGCAGCTGAACGCATTCGTAGGTGATGCGGTTCTGGAGGTCCGTGATCCAGTACTTGTTCATGGAGGCCATGGCGCCGTCGAGCTTTCCCTTCGCGTGCAGCTCGACGCACTGGTCAGTGAAGGCGCGGCACACGGCCAGCTCCGTCTTCATCGCCGCCAGACGGTGCTGGATCGTCTGCCCAACGCCGTGCAGGACACGTCAGAACGCCTCTCGACGACAGTCACTGTCACGAGCAGGGGCAGCCAGCGGGCGACACGCCTTACTCGGCTCAGGCAAACCCGGCATGGTTATGATGACCGATAGAATGCAAAACACCGGGAGTGAGTAAGATATATCAAAAAAACTTCGCTGATAGCTGTCGCGACAGGTAGGACAGACGCAAACAGATGAGATGTAAAGTAAGATCAACCGAGCAGCCGTTGGTCAAGCATGTTTTACTGCACGCATTGCTCCTGCCAATTACCTAGATATCACATTCCTCCAGCCACATGTTTCGAGCTATGCGATAATTTTGCACACAGCCTGTCTCTGGGGAAATGCTACAAGCGTAGGTCCATTCTTTAACACGTATGTCTGCGCATTACTGATGATTTTTAACGCGCCGCACAGTCACGGCACAGCTGGCATTGTTTCACCTCCTCGCCAGAGAAAGTCAACGTCATAGATGGGAATTCAACCCATGTGGTAATGCCACTAAAATCCGCTGCGCCTGTCACTCGCTGTGAGACAAAACCGGTGCGCCAAACGCTAAGGTATCACCGGAACGGCCACCGACAATACTATACGTGGTGCTTACCTGCAGATTGCTGAGGGTTTTGCCAAAAGCCTTTCTGTTGATCAGGTATTCACGAGTCTCTTCGAACGCCCACTCGCAGTTGGCCATGGCCATGATGCCGATCAACAAACGCTCCTGGGGAAGTTCCTGCATGAGCTGATAGAAACCGCCATTCTCCTTGCCCAGAAGTGCCGACTTCGGCAGACGGACGTCCTCGAAGAACAGCTCAGCCGTGTCCTGTGCCTTCATGCCCATCTTCTGCAGCTTCTGTCCCTTGCGGAAGCCTGGCATGCCCTCCTCCACCAGGAAGAGACTGATGCCGTGCGCCGGAGACTTGGCCGTCGGGTTTGTGATGGCCACCACGATCACCACGTCGCACATGTAGCCGTTGGTGATGAAGACCTTGCTGCCATTTAAGATATAGTCGTCGCCGTCCTTAACGGCGGTCGTGCGAACACCCTGCAGATCACTGCCGAAAATAATACATGTTGTAGAGTGACGCAAAGTGAATATCGGTCCTGCCTACGGACTGCAGCACATTCTTCCACAATCTGGTGCACTTGTACCGCTCATATGTAAGGATATCATTAATTTGCACCGCAATAAGCCAAAACGCGCATGCACCTCATTTGGAACGTATCTCATCAAGGCCCGCATTCACACGCACTTCTTCGATCACGTGCACTTGCGTATCTCCAGCAGGATCAGGCACACATCCAGCTGAGGAAGCAAGGGCAATACCTGGTAACGACCTACCTGCCTGCTCCGGGCTCGGTCATGGCCAGGGCGCCGATCTTCTTGCCAGCCGTCATATCCGGCAGCAGCCTCTCTATCTGCTCCTTGGTGCCGTAGTGGGAAATGTACGGCATGACGATGTCGGAGTGCATGGCATACCCCGGACCGGTGCAGTTGCTGTACCCTCTGCGGCAGAGAAAACGACGTGTCTGTTGGCTACACGTGACCACAATCTTGGCCGCAACATCTACGTGGTTATCGAGAGCCGGTGTCCTTTGGTTCGTCCGACATGGACAATAGCGGCCAAGTCGACAATTGTCCTAAAACCGAGCGTCGTCACGCACTTACACTTTGGACGTGACTTTGGACGTATGTGAACCAGACAAATGTTGTGCTTCCCTCATTCTGAAACCCCCATTCTTCACCCCGTCTGGCTTAGCACGAAACACCAGCACCAGTCATGAACCCTTCCACTGCTGTCTTGAAAACAATAGCCGCCAATAGCATAGGGCAATAACGAGTAGCGAGACTGCCGAAAAAGTTAGGCTAAATCAAAACATGCGTAGTACCATGGGTGAAATTGCACGAACAACCACATATCAGCGTAGCTATGACATCAATGACGCATTGCGTCGATCGTGGTCAAAGGCCTTTGAATCAATTTCCAACAAGTTGTACCTGAGGTTAAAGGATACGGCCGCCTGGCCAGAATTCGTGTCAGGCTACCACATTCCAACAGCAGCGTCATCGCACTGCAAAGTGGGGCTTTCCTGCCATGTTGGAGCCTTCTACGCTATCGACACTCTCCACATGAAGCGCATTGATTGACAGATGATGGAATCATAACCTCAACGCTAATTGGTTACCTTAGACCGGTAAGCGCGCGCAGATGTGCCATTTTCACATCCTAAAACATGCACATGTGGCGCGGAAAACACGCAGAAGTGGCGCGGAAAACGTGCAGAAGTGGCGCGGGATGGCCGGTGCCTGTGCGGTTACGGTGCTCCCATTCGATTGCGCCATTAACGTGTTGCTAATCAAAGGTAACTGGAAAGAACGTAGGTAAGTCAAAGTATGCGGTATATGAAGGCATCGAACCATTTTAGGCAACTTAACAACGTTCAGCACGCATGCTAATTTGCCGAAGCCTTGCGCCAATCTGACGACATTTATAATACTCCGAATAAACGCGGCTAATGGTGCTTCAAATACTCTGCCAAGGTATAAGCTATCAAGGAGGCATATGCCGCTCCCGTGTGGTCTTGATAAGTGCTCAGGGATAGGTAACAATTCTCAACCCGGCTTGTTTTACGGGACTTACACGCCCGCACTTTCCCGCAATCATGTGGGAAGCTTTGCGCATTGAGACCTTCGTCAAAAACCTGGAGCTATTACCTCGGTCCAAACCAAAACCAAGAATCCTGCAAGCCTTTAAAGACCGTTCATCGGCTTATACAGTCTAGCAGACCTTTCTCAGCACAATTCACAGCACTCCAAAACCTAGCTTTGTACCAGGAACACTGGATACAACTACAAACAAACATCCTTGCGTCCACTATGGTTTCTCAAGTGTTCATTCCTTCGACAGGGTCAGCATCACATTGAAAACCGATGCAAGTCATGACAATGCTTAAGTTTTGAAACAGTCGAGGCAACACCCCATAATACTGCCGCCCGCCCAGGGTAAAAGACCGGAGCGGCATTTTTCGAAACTTGCAAGTTTTTATCGCTATTTTTTCCGGTTATCAACAGTTTAGGTTATTTATATCATTTGATGCAACTCGAAGAACTGCACCTTGTCATGTTGAGTCGAAATTTAGAAAAAATTGCGTTGAAAATATGTTCAAATGCAATTTCTCTACGGACACAAACATTTATAACCCGAAGTCTCAAACTGTTTCTGCACAGTTCACCTGATGACACGTAGGCCTTCATGCCTTCGGTCGGCAGAATACATTCAGTATCTACTCACTGTTCTTCCAGCACGATGGAGGCGTCAAGCCAGTCGCCGCCAATACCGCCGTGCTCTGCGGGCGTGTTGACGCCGAGCAGGCCCTGCTCGCCAGCCTTGAGCCACACCTCGCGGCTCACTTCACCGTCCTTCTCCCACCTGGCAACACATATCGCAGCTAGACATCCCAACAGGCCCGGCCTGCCTGCGTCCAGCCAACGGACGTGGATCATGCAAACACTGCTGGCATTACTCACATCTCTACACGAAGGTTGTTGTGAACACATTCTCGTATGATGATGTGTACAATGCGAGATGACTAGTTATCATTCTGGGTAAGATTTGTTGCAGAAAGGCAACAGCGAACAGTCTTAGAATAAATGATCGCCAGAAAACGTGAAACCGAGTACGCAGACAGACATCTTCACAAAGCCCACAACCTGTATTGTTTCCGTACTGGGCCGCGGGCCATAAACACCATCTTTGACAACCAACACGGAAGGATATTTCTCCGATGAAGCGATTACACAACCATTCGGTTCACACGGGCGACTACGCCCATTTGCTTGCGAAATGACGCTAAGTCGCTTACTGTGCGTGGTAAGGCTTCACTTCCTGATCGAAGAACTTTCTGACCGACTCCCGGAACATGTCATGATCTGAGTTGTAGAGCGGGCGGCTCCCGATGTCAGTCAGCTTGGGCATCTGCGATGTGGCGGGGCGGAAGTCCTTGCACCTCCTGGGAAACAAGGTACAACCACGTCAACACTGCCCAAGACTTAGGCTGCACGATGCGCATACATGGTAGCAATAGCCTATATGGGATTGATTGCCTCGTGAACATAGTCATCGATCACACGAAACCAATATATACAAACATATATATATATATATATATATATATATATATATATATATGTTTATATATATATATGTATATATATACCCTCTTCAGTCAGGGGGGGGTGTCACAAATATAAAATTACTGCCAAGTGCCGTCCAACGAACAAGGTACTCCACCTCTATCATCCGCCATCGTGGTCGTGGTTGAACCTTTTAATTACGTCGGGCGGTGATGAAAATAAATAGATCACACCATAGACGACATACCCGTCCTCTTCAAGAATTGCTGAAAACCTTTTCAGTTACCATTTGGGCAAATCTCGGAGTAGTCGATTGATTGAACGGCGAAGTATCTTCGGGATCAGTGTAAGCTTTTCACAGTTTATCGATTCCCAGCAATGCATTTCCTCTCATGAAGAAAGTAAAGTTAAGTTTGTTTGGTTTGAGGCGTTTCGGCCCATTCGGACCGCTCCACGCCTCTGAAGGGTCTATTTCAATTCAAACTTAACTCTATGTTTTTAAGAAAGAAAAACGCTCCCTCTTACTCTTTCACAATAATTGAAGCATTCCGGTACGTCTAAGAAAATTGAATAAAAGGTCAAGAAGGTGTGGATGGTCATTACCTAGGAGGACTTCTAACGATAATGCAACGTTGTGGTGACGACAGTATGTTTCCAGTGCCTTCCGCTGGTGTTGAAATTTGTCACATTCAAGCAAAAGATGCTTAACCGAAAGGGGACGACTACACTGATGACATAAGGGACGCGGGTATTTTAAACATAAATAACTATATGTAAGCTGTGTGTGTCCGATTTGAAGACGTGCTAATACTTCTCTTCCAAACGGTCTGGACGGTTTACCGACGGCCAAGGTGCAATTTCCGGTTTTGTATTGAAGCTGTGTCCTGGTGGTTTCCGTCCACTTCCGTTTCCAAACTTGCTTTGCTAAATTGTGAATGACCGTTTTTATTGCAGTATGGTCACCAGGGACTGGTGTTATGTCATGGGACGCCAATGTCTCCTTAGCCAATTGATCGGTCCTCTCACTTCCTCTGATACCCCGATGGCCTGGCACCCACAAAAATGTAATGTCTACGTCTTGCGTGCGTAAAGAATGATAAATATTTATAATACGAACAACGAGGTGGTGAGTGATGTCAGGGTTGGTAAGTGACAAAAGAGCCGCCCTAGAATCCGAGTAAATTACTATGGGCCTGGTCCTATGATTTTGTCGTTCAATATGTTGCAAAGAAAGAATAATGCAAACAGTTCTGCAAGATATAAGGATGTTCCATCGGGTAACCCACATTTTTGTGAGTAATCGCCGTTACAGAGTATCGCGCATCCGGTGTGGTTTTCAGCCATAGAGCCATCGGTATATATGAAGCGACAGTGTGGATACTTTGCGATCATGCGATTGAATTTGTGTTGTACATAAGCTGTTGTGACGGTGCGTTTATAATCAGTAAAAAGAAACATAACTTTGCGAGGTGCCAGTTGCCAAGGGGCTACTACGAAGTCATGTGGCACGGATGCTCACAGAAGGGCGTAATTTTCAATTATAGCAAAAACAGTGAAACGCGACGCAATTGTAAGGCCCAAGCAACGCTCTGCTGGTCCTAAGAATGTATGGTGATTTCGTGGCAATATATGTGGAGGCGAATGCTGGGTGACCTGGATTTTGTCTTATCTTTGTGACATATCTTATAGAGTGTTCAATACGTCGGAGGGCTAAAGGCATAACGAAGGCATCCACTTCAAGTGCCGAAATTAGGGATGTGCGCAATGCTCCTTGTGCCAGCCGCAAGAACATATCTTGTGTAACATTCAGGGACTTAAGACTGCCTTCCGTGCCACCTGCACGCACCACTGATCGATATTCAGTAACAGGAAGAACCAAAGATTTATATAAAGTAACAATGAGCTATACCGGTCAGTGCCGTGCCTTGACCCCGAGATTCACCTAAACAAATTCAAGCGTGTGACGCATTTGGTGCGGACATGCTCAACGCGCTTGGACATGGACAACCTCAGGTCGAGAACGATGCCTACAAATTTGAACGATGAAACAAAAAGGAATATTATGCCCGTCCAGTTGGAGAGAATATGTCGATGCATCTCGTCGCCTTTTACTGAAAGTCATAACGGCTGTTTTTAGCGGAAAAATAGAGACCATAACGTTTTGACCATTGTTGTAACTTGTGAAGGGCGTTTTGGAGGCGTGGCAATGAGTGATCATATTCTTCATCTGAGCACCAAACCGCGCTCTCATCCGCACAAAGTGACAAGGATATGTCTGAAGGGAGATCATCAAATAAATAATCTATCATTGGGTTAAACAGCATCGGAGATATTAGAGATCGCCGATCGACATCTTACACGGAACGGCCGCGTTCCTGAGGGAAATCCCACAAGATAGTGTGCCAAATGCGCTTAACATCTTAACTTTTTCAGTTTAAAAATTAAAGCTGGTTTATATACCGTATCATAAGTACGAGTAATATCCAGAAACACAGCAGTGACTTGACACTTTTGGTGAAATGCGCGACGAATATCTGTTTCGAGACGAATATGATCACAGGTGGTACGATTACGTCGAAATCCACATTGCTGATCCGATATGACTTTTCACAATCGGTTATCCAGGCAAGACGTTCGCCAACCATGCGTTCCTTAAGTTTTCCCACGCAGCTGGTCAGCGTAATTGGACGGTAGTTGACTGGGTCGTGCGAGTCCTTGCCTGGTTTTAAAATCAGAATTATTATTGTTTCTTTCCATGCTTCCGGAAAAATATGAGAGGACCACAAATCATTAAAAACTTTTAATGTAAATTGAAGCATGCTGTCAGGTCAGTCGACGGCAGAAGGCGTAATGTAGTTTATCCTGGCCTACTGAAGTGTTACCGGTAGATTTAATTGCACCGCAGAGCTCTGAGAAAGAAAATGGTAGATTGCAGTCCTCTGTATTGTCGGAAAGAAAGCAATGGGTATGTAAATGAAATCAGGGGTCCCGCTTGATCCTATGAAACCTGCTTTATAATTGTCAGAAGAACTACAATGTGCTAGACTTTGGGCAAGAGCCTCCATGACCTGTGATGATGATGTAATTAAAACATTGTTCTGGAGGAGAAATAGACGGCCGCTTACCAGAAAGTGTACGAACTAATCCCCAAATTTTGCTTAACGGAGTAGATTATTTAAATCGTTGTGGGAAGTTTAACCAGGAACAACGTTTGGCGGCTCTTATGATTTACCTGGTTCGAGCGCATTCACAGTTGCGGGCGAGTAAATGTGTAATGTCGTGATTGAGTTGATAACTTCGAAAAGCACGTTTACGTCTGGAAATGGCCTTCTTGACACCATCTGTCCACCACCGCACAGGAAGGCGTCGTGGTAGAGGTTAAGTCAGTGGAATTGTCGCGGACGCTGCAGAATAAAGAACACGTGTGATAAGATCAACTCCTTGCTCTGGTGAATCGTAGCGATGATGGTTGGTAATATAAGTTCCAGAAATTTGGTCCAGTCTGCCTTTCACAGATTCCAACGAGGTATATATCGAGGAACTGCATCAGCAGCAATATCAAAAGTGGCATAAATATTAACTGGGAAATGGTCGCTGGCAGTGGACATTTTAAACAGTCCAATCAAATAAATTTCCTATTGAAGGAGCGCACAGTGACAAGTCAATGGCTGTTTCCGTTCCGGTGGGCAAGTGGTGGTAAATATTATTGCCTTTGTTTAGCAGAACTAAGTTGTGTGTATCAATAACATCTTCCACCAAATGTCCTCGGCGATCAACGGCTTGCGTGCCGTTACTCCACGTTGGACTGCGAGCGTTGAGATCGCCGAGGATGAGAAAAGGGTTTCGAAATTGAGCAACGAGTTGGTCAAGTTGCCGTAAGAGCTCCGTGTTGTTACAATTTGGTGTAATGTACACTGAGCATAAGAGCGAGTGGCGTATGTGTTAATTCTTGATTGATGTACAGTGCCACCCTACCTTGGCGACGCTCACCGGCCGTGGTGTCAAAGCGATATAACGAGTCATTTGGCATTTTAAAGTTAGGATGTGTTGGTGGGACGAAACCATGTTTCCTGTACCGCAATGATGATTGGAGCTTATGCGGACAAAAAGTGCTTTCATTTCAGACCATTTTGAAATCAGACTGCGACAATTCCACTTCAAGATGAAATATATTTCATGATGAAGGGACTCATTCCCACCGGTTAATGGAAATCGCCCAAACGAGACAGACCGAGGTCGTCCCATCGCCACCTTCACTGATGGACAGGACTGTCCCATCGCCACCTTCACTGATGGACGGGACCGGCGGTCTTCGTTCGGGCGTGTTTCGACAGGTGTTGTGGTGGGGGGGAGGGGAGGTAACGTTCGTGTGGTGGCCAGAGGGACCGGGCTGCCTGACTGTTCATAGCCGGAGGGCTAGGACGCCGGACGGCTTGAGCCACACGTGTATCACGCCTAGCCGGCGGGCTGAAACGCCGGCCAACCTGGGGACGGAGGTGCATGGGCGCCTGCGCATCCGAGCGCCAGCCAGGGGTGACTCAACGGCATTTTTCGTCTGGGTCTGTGTAGTTGACTCAGCTGAGACCGAGGGGGGGGGGGGAGTGAGAAGCTTCAGGGCAGGCAGATGGGCAACGGAGTCTGTCTGTGTTCCACATGTGGCCATCGCGGCTTTTGCTACTTTGTGCATATGTTTTGCTAGACCGCGACGACATTTCGGATTTAATAGTGCGCCATGCCTCGGGGTACGAGTCTTTGCCTTTTCAGAATTTTCTTCTTTTTCCATGTGGGGCATTGAGGAGAGTCGGCGGCGTGATCACCACTTCCACAACTCAGGCATTTCTAGGGTGATGTGCAGGCAGACTCCTCGTGATGAGTTTCGCCGCACTTCAAGCATCTGGCACTCTGTTCGCAGTACTTGCTGCCGTGTCCGAAACCAACGTTGACATTTGAAACACCTGAGTGGATTTGGAATGAATACTCTTACTTTATTATAACGAAGGTAACCAGCTGGTAGCGCTTCGGGAAGTCGGATGGTAGCAAAAGTGAGCACAAGCAGGCTGGTGTCGCGACGCTGGCCATCTCTGATGGTCGTCAGACGTCGAACATGATAAACATTTTCGCCCCCGAGCTCCGCCAGGATCTCGTCCTCCGTCATGAAACGGAAGCCCAGGCACGAAGGTGGTGCCTTCAGTGGTGATTCGGAAGCTGGTGCAGGGGGACTTTTACTTGTTAGCCACACAATTCAGTAGTTTTGAGTAGGACTTTGTTTTGTGCGCGATTGGTTGTTTTAATGATGTGTGATCCGTTTGCCGGTGCTTTAATTTTGAGTTCGCATGGACCGCAGGTAGCCTTGGTTTGTTTTGATGGCCAGAAAACGCTGATCTTCCGAAATAACACGTTCTCATCACAAGGCTGAACAACAACGTAAGAGCTGAGAGGATCTAGAATTGGTTCAAAGGAGAGGCGAACATTGGCCGTTGTCGAGCGAGGGTCAGCATCAGAGCGAGCAGGCACTGGGGTGGTCGAAGACGAGCGAGGGTCGGAACCAGGGGCGTTGGGTGGAGACGGGTGTTGTCCAGGCACCGCGACGGAAGTGCATGAACCAGTGGAATGAGCTTGGGGCGCGCGAAGGTCATCAGGTGAAGTGGTAGACGAAGCGGGCTGGCGGCACTTCCGACGTTTATGTCCAGGGCATTATCGAGATCAGAGGCCGAGTTCGAGTCCGTGTCAGTGTCGTCCTTGCACTTGATTCGTTTCCCCATACTGGGGGAGCGGGAAGACAACAACAAAAATTAAGTGAAAAGGTGTGTTTGGAGATAGAGCGAACAGAAAATTGACGAGAACGACGACGCAAAAAAGGAACCCCTTGGCTGAGAGCCACAAAAGATGCAAACCACTTGCTGAGGTCTTGCCAGGCGGGTGTACGGCCACCAAATGGGTCGACGAAAGCCTTGATGATGTGCCATCCTGTGCTTGAAGAAAGCTTGTGCATTCTCTTGAAAAAAACATCCAATGAGATGCATGAGACCTTAGCTCACTGTGACTTAAGTCACTGGCGCCCAGAGATTTGAAATTTTGCAACCCATTGTGCGATTCTATCAGTAATACCATTTTTTGCATATCACTCTAATAGCACAGAACTTTATCCTGTGCTGCATCCTGCATCAAGCCTGCTAGCCTTACTCGAGGTCCCCCAGGCAGACCAGTTAGTCCGCGCCTGGCGGTCGACACGAGACCTGATAGTACCAGTTCGTCGACACCTGAAGGCACCCTAATGGCTGTTGTAGCCTCTTGTGATTAACTTGATTAAAAAACATGTTCTTGACATCTGACCACGCAAATGTGACCTTGAATCCAGCATGTTCCAGCACTTGCTTATTTTGCAGGGAACACTATTCTGCTGCACTTGAGCCCAGTGTGTGACCTCAGCTATAGCACAATTAGTTTTGGAAGCATGGTGACCAAATATAATAGCATATTTGGCAAGACTTTATTTGCATTTATATCTTGTATTTGCCCATGTATGCACTTTTGTTATTCTTGCCTGTCATTACAAATGTGGAAGTATGAGGGATAGTCAGTAGATACCAGAGCAGGACAAGGATAAGATAAGACTGGGAGACAATGCATGTGCATGTGTACATAGAGGATAAGGCTGTGGGAAGCATGCCAAGGGGTGAGGATATACCCATCCAAAGCTCATCAGCTACTAAGGTGGGATGCTCCAGTTTGATATAAAGGAAGCCAATAATCATTGATACTGCAAAACAAAGCAGACAACTCAAAATTGGTTGGATATTATCTTATAAGGAGTATTTGTGCTCCTTCTCTGCATGTGACCTCTCTGCAACCTCCATTTCTGGACCACATGACATTATGCTGTTGCATTGATATGATATAGGAGTGGAAAAACTCCCGGGATTATCACATGCAGGGTACAATTTTTAAAGCATTACTGAATAAGGTGCACATTTAACAGCAGGGGCTACAATACTATGTGGGTAGACAGGTGGGGCAGCTAAAATAAAAATCAGAACATACAAAAGGCAGATTGAGCACCTGGGGAAAGAAATAATAAAATCCACTCAACAACAGTGCACATTCCATCCATACCATGATAACCATATATGATGTACACACTCCATTCCCCAAATAAGCCACATTCCATTCATCACACTGGCTACTGCTCTTTGTTTCATGAGGCCATGGCATAATCAGATACAAGATATTCTAACAAACATTGCTTTAACTGTGATATTTGGCACCCAAGCTCTTACCAGCCTCAATGTATTTATTCTGTGACTGTGTGGATATTTATCAGTAATTTCAAGGTGCCTCTTATCCTGCCCCCTGCCTTTTATAAAAGAAAGTTGGTTAAATCCCAAGCAAAAACTTTTATGTAATTACATGATAGGCTTTACTGTTTTCCCACTTAGTCACCCCATGCCCAAACTTGTTTTGCAAAACTATACCAGTGCCAAGGACCTGAAAATACGGTGGTTTGATGGGAGGGGGCTAAACGCAGTAGAAGCTGCGGTTCTTTCCACCTAACAACATAGCAAATCTTGCATAGCACACTTAGCAGCTGCTACATTTTCTCAACAGCAATTTGTCTGTTTGCAATCCTTTGATCAGTGTATGCCACTGAGCTGGAATTATCTTAAGTCTTTCTGCCAATGCATGACTCCACCCACTGCTCTGTTATGGCCCAAGCACAATTGATAAACACTAGGGACATAGATGCCATACAATGATGCTTTTATTTCAAACACATGAAAAAGAGAGCAGAGGATGAGCCTAATTGACAAACTAGGACCAATTACAATTTTACCCGGTTTTCATGTTGTTTATCTATAACATATAAATTTTATAAAAACACATATATTTTGCTAATCTTGGTATCTTGGACATAAAAATGTGGAAATAATCTACTTGTCAAGCCTAGCTAAAAAAAGCAACATTTCAAAAAGCACACAATAATATTAATATGCAACCACTTGACTGGCCAAAAGGGAACATGACATACTTTCTAAGCTTTGAGTTAACAAATAATTTGATGTTTTTCTTTTCTCCAAAATAGGTGTCAGAGGCATAATACTACCACCTTTATGTCAGGAGAAATGCCTTGCTCCTGTTTGGAATGCAGTTCCCAGGGTGCTATGTTTGAGAGGTGGGGTGGGGGGGGGATTGTCCTAGGTGGATTATGTGTGCTGATGAGCATGGTCAGACCTCCACATAGGTGCATTGAATGGAAGCCTTATGGGCTTAAGGATGGTCAGCTTCAATTGGAGCCCACCTGCAGCATCTCTCTCACAGTCTTCTTGAATGTCATAGAGGGTACTGCTGTTCAATGTTTGGGATCAGCTTCTTTTCATCTTGCATTGTTTAATAAGCACAATTTTTCATCCTTTTTGGTATAAATTTGTGGATAAAAAACTTTTGGTGCCAAAAATACCAACAAACTTTAAAGTTTCAGGGCACACACAGAGCCAATACACCAAACCCTTTCAAGATCAGGCTAAGTCTTATGTCAAAGGCATCTTGGAGGGTCAAATAAAAACATGGTGAACTATTCACTTATATATTCACCATAGGCACTCAGCACCTCTCACAAAATTTTGCTCCCTGGTCTCCTTGTGGTGCTCATGTACCTATGGTCTATGAGGTACTGATGTGCCGGAGTACTTGGTCATTATGATGCCAAACTTTGTAGAGTGTCACAGCCAACACATACCAAATAACCAGAGGACATCAAGCTGCGCCTCTGGCCTGACTAGCTGGGTGGGCAGGTACCTCCACACACAGGTCTCTAATTAGCGAGCATGCCACAAGAGATGCTCCAATTTTTCGTACCGCTGGAAAGACAAGACCAAAGCAAACTCATTATATTTATTGGTGATGCAAACACTAAAAACAAAGAAAAACACTAATGAGCGCAGCCGTTTAATCGAAATCGAATATTACGTAACGCACATTCTGCGCCATTGATACGCACAATCGGCGCTTACCTAGATGTTCCGCTGAAGTGGCGTGAAAGTAATCCGCCATTTCTGCCTGCGTCCAAGATCTGCTGCCTTAAACAAGCACTCGCAAACCGCTGGGACCCTCGGAAAGACCTAACGAAAGCCATTTCTGCGGCTTCCCCAACAATGTACTCAGCCCCGCTCCCCGCAAGCCCTCCAATGAAAACTGCCCTCCTCCAATCCCCGATCGCGGCCACGCGATCAGTTTTCTATCACTCTGCCCACTCTTTCTTCTCCATTGGCCTTGGCTCGCAGATATATTTCAACACATACAAAAATTCCACTGCAGGCAAAAATGCGCTGCAAAGCTGCCAAAGAAGAGAAGTTACTTGCCCTCGTTCCCAGGGCACGCTGTTGGTCACACGGGGATGCACAAAATAAAGGTGTTCGTCGAGTACAGAGGTGACATTGGTGCTACACATGGGTCCTATAGACATATGAGTAAAATTGAACGGGATCGGAACGAGTTAGGGCTTCAGAGCATGAACAGAGTTCATTGTTGTTGATATGTTGATATTGTTAATAAATGAGTTATTGATGTGTTGATAGGCGAGTTGCTTTTGAACAACACCATAGGCTCCCGGGACATACGCCATCTTCGAGGGAGGGGGATTGCACCCAAACAAGGATGTTGTAACCGGGGGAGGAGGCAGTGGGGGCAGCGTCCCCCAACTTGAGAGCCCATTCTGATCTGTAGCCGGCCCAATATTGACTGTCGTGGCCCATTCTCACCTAAAGAGGAATCATTTTGACCTTTAGGGAGGCGTCATTCTGATCTTAAGAGGGGTCATTGTGGCCTTTAGATGACCCATTATGACATGCAGACCTATCATGACCTGTAGAAGGTCTGTTATTTCCTGTCGAGAGTGCAACTCCATTCTGACTGGTAGAGGGCCATTTTGGCATGTAAGGGCCTAATATCTAAGCTTAGGGCTCATTTTGGAATTTTGGAGTTCCTTCCCCCCTAACATGAATATAGTTATCGCGGGCCTGCACCCAAATGCTCCTGGGATACATCGCCGTCGGTGGCATGTGTAACGTGTTCAGAGCCGCGCTAGGTAGTGCCCTACAGGGCCGGGCTGTGGCTGCGGCTGAATTTGCGGCTGAGCCTGTGCCTTGGTACTGGGGCTCGGCCTGGACCTGGTACTTGGTTGTTACTCGCCGTCGGTTGCATGTGTAACGTGATCAGCGCGACGTCGGTTAGTGCGTCACAGAGCTGGACTGGGGTTACGGCTGCGTCTACGGATGGGCCTGGGCCTGGGACTGTAGCTGGGCCTGGGCCTGGGATTGCGGCTGGGCCTGGGCCTGGGACTGTAGCTGGGCTTGGGCCTGGGACTGTAGCTGGGCATGGGCCTGGGACTGCGGCTGGGCCTGGGCCTGGGACTGTAGCTGGGCGTGGGCCTGGGACTGCGGCTGGGCCAGGGCTTGGGCCTGGGATTGAGACCGGCATTGGGCTTGGGATTGGGATTGGAGCTGAGACGGAGACTGGGCCTGGGACTGGGGCTGGCACTGAGGCTGGGGCTGGGGCTGGGCTGGCACTAAGGCTGGGGCTGGGACTGGGGCTGAGGCTGAGGCTGAGGCTGAGGCTGGGGCTGGGGCTGGGGCTGGGGCTGGAGCTTGACCATGGCCAGGAGCGGCGGATTTGAGGAGGGTACTGTGCAGTCACCCGCTGCCGAATCAGGGCAACATTTAACATGGGGGGCAGTACACCCACGGGAAGGGCAAGTTACAATGGCTCTCCCTAGCCTCCACAGAGTCCCCCCACAACCGGGCATGGCATGACAGGGCAGAACACAGGGCCAGGGGGGGGGGGGGGCAACAGAACAGTACAAAACAGGCCTTCGTATCTTTGCCATTCAATTCAACTAATCGGATAACGTGCTTCTAAGAGTCTAATGAGTTGGATACGCCTGAACATTGCAAAGTAAGTGGGATAAGAAGCAACGTAGATGTTCCGTCTCCCCACCGTAATTCAAACCTCCCAGAGTTGCGACACATCGTTTGACCGAAGAGCCATTGCAGTCAGGGGGGTGGGAACAAGTTCAAAGTCTTCAGGGGAAATGACAAATGACTTGGCAGGCCTTTCCCCCTTTTATTCCCACCGTATTTTGGCCAACTCTTTGTCAAATTTGGTGAGAGTGGTGTGTGTCACGTGTTATTGAGGCTTTACGACGCACTCAGCTGCTGAGGCTATATGGCGTCGCCTGCCTCTCACCCTGGCAGGAAGGGTGAGAGTGGTGATTCGTTTATCAGAACATCTAACAGAGACGTTAGGACGTGTCCTGGTGCGAGAGGGGGGAGGGGGTCTCAACTATGAACCATATGACTGGATCTATGCCGCTTTTTGTGACACATTTTCGTCTAAATTGAATATTGTGGTTCTTCACGCGCATATTGCGAACACATTTCGCTATTCGCTTATGATGCTTCAATAAGTGAAAGAGGAAGTGATTTATGACAAAGAAGCATACATCATCGACATACTGCAATATCCATATCACGGATGCCGATTTGGCGACTTGTATGATTTTTGTTCGGTTACTCTCCTCCCCCAACACCAGTTTGTCACTCCCCTAAGGGCGAGTTCCCCCCCCCCCCAACATTCTGGAGTCTAAGTGCAATCAAAACATTACACAAGAGCTCAAAATCAAACAAGTTTTAAAAAGGTAACCGTTTAGATACAACCGTTTCACAGGTAAAAGGAACAAAGAAAATGAGATCTGCATCGTCATGTTCAGTGACTTTCCAGCTCACTGAGCCAGAAACACGTTTAAGAGTTCCGCGTTTGTACCGTGTCAAGTTAGGACTGTCTGTGGTTTTGCTGCATGCTGCACTTTTTAATCACAAGATTTAGCTGTCTTATTGACCAAGCTTTGCTTTGTGGTAAGGTCTGAATATTTTGGCATTATGCAGCAACGGCTCAAGATCTACAGACCGCGGCATTTCACCTTGTTCTACCACGACGTCTTATCGGAAAAGGTTGGAAAATGGTTGGGCCTTATAGTTATACATTATACGTTATTATACGTCTACGTTCAAGGGAGCGTTCCACATTTGTATGTGATTTGGAACTGGAATAGCCATCTTGAAAATCAATTGGTGCAGCTCACAACCGTGCCCTTCTTAAGGCCAAAGCCCTTCTAATTTCTAAGCCACACACAAGGATGTGCAAACTATTTCGGGACGACTATTTCAAGGGCACCGAGACATCTGTGACTGCATAAAACTTCATTAAAATACTCCCCTTTTATTGGACATGTGGCGATCAAGGCCAACAAAAATACCATTGTTGAATCGTGCATATCTGACGTTCGTGAGCACGATTTCCAGATATAACGACCGTCAAATGGCCCCCAATCAATGTTGTGGAAGCTACGATAACGGAACCAACCAGTGATATATTGAGGAGAATATTTATTAAAAAGATGAATTGTGTTGGGTAAAACAACCTTTTCCACTTGAAAGCGTCAATAGCTATAAGTGAGCGCTTCACAACTGATGCTTGCTTTAATAACCTTTAATGTAGAATATGCCCTTTAACACGCGTTCGGGTGGGGTCAACTTGACCCTGCAAAGGTTCTGTTCCATAATGACTTGGGAACAGCATAGCTTTAGGCGACTAAATAGCGTATATTTTGGTACAACAAATAGATGTACCCTGCAAGGTCGCTGACCGATGGCAGGTCGAAGTCAGGCCGTTACTGGCAGCGAAGGCCATTTCTATGGAATCGTTCAGTCCGATGTGACAACGGCCATTAGATGAAGTCATGTATAGCTGATAGTTTCTTAGACAATACGCCAACTGAATTTAGAATAATAACAAATTCCATTGGCCTTGGGTGAGGCGTAGTGGTCAAATCAGGGTGAAAACGCAACTGCTCTGTTGCTGGAAAACTTGACCTATGAAGCAGCTTTTGATGCTCATTTCGCATTTACTAATGACAGAGGCCGCAGCAGAATGTTTCATTGACTTTTTGAGAGTCAGACTGGGTTACTGAACTAAAATGACCCTGGTTAACATTTTGTGTCAGGAACATACCATCCAGCGTAACCCCTGACATATATTGAAATGTCAAAATAGCAGACGAGGTCTGGGGTCACTTCAAACACCAATAACAAATTTGGCCCTGTTTGACCTTATTTGACCCCAGGGCCATATTCTAAAAGCACCAAATTTGACACACAAGTGAGTTCACATACAAGCCAACCCACCCTGTGTATTTGGCGTCGCTGGCTATCCCAGTTCATGAGATCTCAGGGGTTAAATCTCGGGAGGGACGTCAAATTGACCCTCCACCCGAGCAAAGGGTATTCATCCGGCCAACCGCGCGCTGTGAGCCCCTAAGTGCGGCGCCCTCTTCTTCGAGGCTAATATGTAATGAAACTGATAGGAAAATCTCGCAGTTGGTACCAGCCACCCATACCGATAGGAGATATCGTCCGACGCTGTGAGCCCCTAAGTGCGGCGCCCTCTTCTTCGAGGCTAATATGTAATGAAACTGATAGGAAAATCTCGCAGTTGGTACCAGCCACCCATACCGATAGGAAATATCGTCCGACAACGACCACCAGCGAACAACATAATCAGTGTCGAACATGCTTAACGCGAGTGGGGCGTTCCAGCCTGCAGCCTGCCTTGCGGCTACCTGCCGGGTGTTTCCGTCCAGCTTTGAATAGTAGCGCACGTCAGCTTGCACACAAAAGCCACATGCGTCCAGTTCTGAAACACATAACATCGACCCGGTGTCCATCACCGATACCTGATTTCGGCCATCGACGCCCAACAAAATGATAATGGTGCCTGACAACAACATCCCCTGCCGACACAGAGCAGGGGAACACATTAGAGCATCAGTGCAGGTTTTTTTATTTAGTTGGAGCGAGCCCACACCCAAGGGTGCCATTTTTTGTATATCATAGGGGTGGGGGGTGAGCTGAGGGCCCAGCTACCTCCCCCAAAAACTTCTCAGCGAATTTAGCCTGTTTTATTCCAATGAAAGGGATTTGTTTTAGATTATTATGTCATTTACAAAAGTATTTGAGATCAGCGGAGCAGGAGGAATGTGCCCCGTTTGATCGAAAGCAAAGGCACCCTTCTAGAGGCCGTCTTTGCAGGCACTATTCCATGAAGGCCATGGGCGGCGGCACGTATTTTACGTCGTGGGGGACGGGGATGCCTTTG